GACAGTACTTCATTGGTGTCCTGGACATTGCTGGCTTTGAGATCTTTGATGTAAGGAGCAAGGGTTTGGCACCGTAGCCAAGGGAGGGTCAGGAGGGGTCAAGGGGACACAGCGATAGAATTATTTTCAAGAAGATTCAGAAGTGCTATCAAAACCCTGTGGTGTGCCCCACCTTGAGAACCAGTGTACCTCTCCTTGCTTTGGACAGTTCAACAGCTTTGAGCAGCTGTGCATCAACTTCACCAACGAGAAACTGCAACAGTTCTTCAACCACCACATGTTCGTGCTGGAGCAGGAGGAGTACAAGAAGGAGGGAATTGAATGGGAGTTCATTGACTTTGGGATGGACCTGGCTGCCTGCATTGAGCTCATTGAGAAGGTACCTTTTCCATACAGGGGTATGACGAACTTGAGAGTTCTGTGATGTTTCTGGTCCAGATTCAGCTCAGAAACAACTCACAGACAGATATTCAGTGCAAGCGAAACAAAATATTTTCCTCTGAAATTTATTGTAGCCTGTGAAGGAGAAATTAGGAATGCAAATCTGTGTCACCCATCCCGCATTTCCTGGTCTTCAAGCATGGAAATGTAGCTTGCACTCCCACCTACAGACTTTGTTAAAGCAAAGGGAGTCAGGCTCCTTTCCTTTTTTCTCTGAAGACTCCACATACAAATCTGGGTAGTAAATATCATCTTGCCTGATAGCCCAAAACAATTGGGCCTCTTGAAGCTACTTCCCCAATTGTTTTCCTGTTTAAAATGTGTCGCCCAACTTCTGCTCCGAATTCCAACTGGAGCCACAGAGATGTTCTTGCCAGTTCCATGAAGACAGGCTGCAGGAAGGGAAGGCAGAAATAAGCCTCCCTGGCTGAGAACAGCTCCTGACTAACATAGGCCATGATTCAGCCTTTGATGTTCATACCAGATGCTTCACATCATTGTAACTCTCCTCTGTCACTTCTTGTGATACCTTCCAGCCCATGGGCATCTTCTCCATCCTGGAAGAGGAGTGCATGTTCCCCAAGGCAACTGACACCTCTTTCAAGAACAAGCTCTATGACCAACATCTGGGCAAGTCCAACAACTTCCAGAAGCCCAAACCTGCCAAAGGCAAGGCTGAGGCCCACTTCTCCCTGGTGCACTATGCTGGCACAGTGGACTACAACATCACTGGCTGGCTGGAGAAGAACAAGGACCCTCTGAATGAAACTGTCATTGGGTTGTACCAGAAATCATCTCTGAAGACACTGGCCTTTCTTTGCCAACTCTATGGTGGAGCAGATGCAGGTCAGCTCTGTGAAAACTATTTTCAGTGTAGGACAATGATGATACAGAACTAAAGAAACAAACCCCAAACATTTAAAGCTGTTCTGTGCTCTGTAGTCTCCAATAAGTAACATCTGCATTTTAAAACTTTTTCCTTTTTTTTCATTTGCAGATGCTGGTGGTGGCAAGAAGGGTGGCAAGAAGAAGGGTTCTTCTTTCCAGACTGTCTCAGCTCTCTTCCGGGTATGTACCAGTTTCCTTACTTTCAGGCCCTTTTTCATGCACCTCTATTTTGAAAGCTAAGTACGGTAATGAAAGAGGTTGATTTCTTTCAGCTTATGCACAGAGTTCAGGATAACTAATCATGCAGATATTTAGGACTTATTTCCAATAATTTCTATCATGCATGATTCATAAGTATTGCAGCAGTTCATAGGAAATTGTTAATGATTTTCAAGCCAGGAGTTTCAGGGTATCAAATGAAGTATTTCCCAGTTTCTGTAAATAATTAATTACAATGACACTGTAAACAAAGTATATTTCCTTTTAACAAAAAGGATAGAGGAAAGTATATGATTTTATGCATTAATATGTAAGATTTTCAGTCTAGTTTCAATCTGACAATGTATTAACTCCTTTCCATAAATGAAATATATGCAGCTGCAACGATGCAGATCTTTCAGCTGTTGATGCAAACTTTTCCTTGTCCCCTCAC